GAGAGAGAGAGAGAGAGACCAAATTCTATTGGGTTAATTGAACATGGGTTCTCATTTTTTGTGCCATCCCATCAATACAAGAATATCAAGAGAAAGTGAACATGTATTTTTGAATTCATTGATTGTTCAATACGAATTCTCATGGAACCTTGCATGTGAATTCAAGTGGTATTAAAGGAAAATTAATTGACTGAGAATTCTCTTTATTATGGTATAGAGAGATTATATTACATCTCTCAAAAGAGAATAAAAAAAAACTTGTATCAGAAGAAATTTCTGATCATCTTTATTTTTTGGACTTTAATGTATCAGAAGAAATTGCATTAAAGGGAACAAACAAATATAAGGATATTAGGTGATAATGGGAATTCAGACGTCTTAGAATTAATACATATGGATTTCTGTGGGTCATTCTATTCAATTTTTTGGAATGGTCAACAACCATTTGTTACGTTCATAAATGATTTTTCTTGTTATGGCTACCTGTATTTCATTTATAAAAAATCCCAATCATTGAACATGTTCAAGAATTATAAGACTGAAGTTGAGAATCAACTCAAAAAAAAGAATAAAACGTGTTAGATTTAACCAATGTGGTAAATATTATAGCAGATATGACAGATCAAGAGAAAAAAACATTCAAGATCTTTTGCTAAATTTTTAGAGGAATGTGGGATCGTATCATAGTACACCATGCTAGAATCCCTTAGCATGAATAATGTTGACGAGAGATGAAATAGAATATCTTGCCAGAATCTCTCAAACCCCTTATAAACTTTAGACAGGCAAGAAGCCTAATTTGAAGCACTTGCACATTTTGGATTGTCTAGCTGAGCCAATAAAAAAACTGGACTCCAGAAATAACAGTTACTATTTTATTGGATATTCTGAGATGTCAATGGGTTACAAATTCTATGATCCCAATAACAAGTCAATTTTCAAAACAAAAAATGCCCTATTTTTTTTTNTTTTTTTTTTTTTTTTTTTGAGGATGTGGAGTTTGTAGGAGGAGACACAATTAAAGATTTTGTCTTTGAGGAGGAATATGTAACTATTCCTTTTGTTGTCATTGACAATGTTTAAGATTAGGGACAAATTTCTGTTTCAGATCTTGTTCAAAAAGCAATTCGGAATAAGATAATATTTCAAAACCCCCTATACACAATTAAGAGATTGTTCTAGAAGAAAAGTCAACAATTTCAAGAACAAATGCCATGAAGGAGATCCAATAGAGAAAAAAAGGCAATTGTGGATGACTTTTTAGTCTTTCTTCAAAAAAATGATGGTGATATTGGATTGGTGGAAGAAGATCCAATCTACTTTCATCAAGCCGTGCAAATGAAAAATTTTCAAAAGTGAATTGATGTCATAAATGAAGAGATAAAGTGCATGAAAGACAATGACATTTGGGAACCGTCCTATTGCCTTTCAGTGCGAAATCCATTGGTTGTAAATGCATATTAAAAATCCAAAGGGATTGGAAGGGTGATATGGATAGTTATAAAGCTCGTCTTGTTGGAAAATGCTTTACTCAAAACGAAGGCATCAACTTTAAAGAGACTTTCTCTCTAATTTCTACTAAAGTCTCTTTTAGGACTATTAGGCATTTATGGCACATTTTAATCTTGAGCTATATCAGATGGATGTCAAGACATCGTTTCTCAGTGGTGACATTGATGAGACGATTTATATGGTGTAACTGAAAAACTTTACGTTTGGAAACCTAAAGAAGATGATTTGCAAATTAAAAAAATTCATCTACGGGTTTAAGCATGCTTCCCGTCAATGGAATAAAAAATTTCATCAAGTAATTATCTAGTTTGATTTTGAGATAAATGCAGTTGATGATTGTGTATACCACAAGTTCAGTGAGAGTAAACATATTTTCTTAGTATGATATATCGATGACATACTACTTACCTGCAATGATACATGCTTACTGCATGAAACCAATAAATTTCTATTAAAGAATATTGAGATGAAAGATCTCGGTGATACCTCTTTTGTATTAGGGATACGGATACGCGAGGATCGTTCTCGAGATACTCTTGAAATATCACAAGAGACTATATCGAAAAGGTGCTTGAGTGATTAGGATGCAGGATTGTAAACCAGGTGAAACCTTGTTGTTAAGATAGACAAGTTCAGTCTTAATCAATGCCTTAAGAATGACCTTGAAAATAAGGAAATGCATAAAATTCCATATGCTTCAACAGTTTAGAGTTTAATGTATGCTCAAGTTTGCACACGTCCGGATATAGCATTCATTATTGGAATATTGGACAGATATTTAAGTAATCCTGAGATTGATCATTAGAAGGCAACAAAGTGAGTTATGCGGTATCCACAGAGAACAAAAGATTACGTGCTTACATACAAGAAATTAGATCAATTCGAGATTCTAATTTAGATTTTGCTGGATGCCAAAACAGTCGGTGATCCACATCGGGCTATGTCTCCCGTTGGTTGGAGGAGCTATATTCCGGAAGAGTGCAAAGCACACACTCATAGCTTATTCAATCATGGTAGCAGAGTTTATAACATGTTATGAGGCATTCAATCTAGGAATATACCTACAAAACTTTGTCACAGGACTACATAATTTGGATGAAATTGAAAGATTATTTAAGCTATTTTGTGCCAATAAATCGACAGTATTGTATTCAAACAACAAGAGTCAAAAAGTCTAAGTTTATAAACATTAAATTCCTAATTGTTAAGGTGAGAGATTAGAGTGATCATGTTGCTATAGATATTAAGTTTCTAATTAGGACAAACTTCATGATAGCATATCCATTTATTAAAGGGATACCACTCAAGATCTTTCATGAGTACACTGCTTAAATGAGTGTTGTATGTTTTGATGCTATGCTAGTTTAGTGAGAATTTGTATTTGGATGTTGCCTGTTTAAACACATGATTTTGTTTGTGCACATTTAGGTTAGTTCAAAAATAAAGTATTAAGTTATTTTCACTCTGATTAAAACTTTATTTTTTATTCTCATTAAAGAATAAAGTATGACTAGTTAGAAATAGACATATTTGGATCACATTGTATATAATTTTCATACTACACATCCATACTTGAACTATGTCATTTTTATTGTGTTGATATACGCGACCATTGATGAGTTTAGCTATGATACTTGTAACGAATACCGTTTTGATCCTATATTGACATAATCAATGAACGGGATTGTTCGGACATATTTCTAGTTATGATAGCAAAACTTTGAGCTCATATGGTTATGTACATTTATAATGTAACATATGTGGTCTAAGTGGGAAATTATTGAGTTTTAATTTGTCATATGAATTAATTATGTATTAAAGACTATCTTAAAGTTGAACTCATCTAAAACGATCTAATAAATAATTAAAATTATTGAGTTTTGGACATCTAATATGGTATGAACCTAAATACTTGTAGAAACCATATTTCTTTAGGTTGTATTTCATGGTGAGCTGAAATACATATGGAAAAATATATATAGAGTTATGGTTCCCAATCGTAACTGAGTTTTCACTCTTTGTGTCATCCCATCAACACAAAATTATTAAGAGAAAGCGTATCGAGGAAGAAAATCTAAAACCCATAATCAAGAATCAAGAACAAGAAATCAAGGAAACAAGATTAAAGATTGAGAAGGCAAACTAAGATATTCCACTTACATTTTCAATATTCAATTCAATAGATCGAGGCCCATGTTTGATGGTCGTTATTTGGTAAAAACAGTTTTAAATAGTGATAAATTTTTGGAGAATGTGCGATAGAACAATAGGGAAAAAATTTGAGTTTAATTGCAGAATATTTTATTACGTGAGTGCAGAATTTTTTATTATATGAATGTATAATTGCAAATAAGTACGTGGAATAAAGAGTTGAAATAATGGTTGTCAAACATGAGCAATGTATGTTTCGCACCTTATAATTCTTTTGGTGATTTGACATGGATATTTTGACAATAGAAATAAACGATTCACAAAGTTTGAGTTTAAAATTTTAACAGTCTGGTCATTTATAAAATTTCGCCAAATGGAGGTGGAACATTTACGAAAGTGATGAATCGAACAATACGAAAAAAATTCCCGCGACCGACAAATATGTTGAGAGTAAGCTCGGGTGGTAGTTCTTGATTATCATTTAACATTTAAGAAGAAATCTTAAATGAATGTATGGTCCTATAACTCTCTCGTGATATCGTCTAATTTGTCTATATGCAACAACTTGCCCTTAAATTTTATATATGTAAACAGGATTCATCAACCCCCACGAACCATTAAACTTTGACAGTTCACAGCAGACAATGAAAATCAAGATATTATCTGGTATGTTAGGATTATGCTACTTGTACATAAAGGATTACACAAAATGACATGGAGGGAAAAGAATGGATGAAAAAGTTAACTGTGTTTTAAATTGGCAAATGATAGAGTGTAAGATAATAAATTACCTTAGGATTCCTTGTTGTTACTGATATATCATTTGTGGGCTGGCCGACAGTCTTCTTAGGTAAACATGTTTCACCTATTTCAACCCCATTTTCATCCAAGAACACAGCATTTTCACTGCACCAAAATGGTATATTCTCCTCTGAAAAATTGTGGAATTCCATGGTTGTGGCCAAGGCGGCTGTTGTGGTGGTGCCCGGCGGAGATTTCTCCTCCACCAAGTCCCTGAAAGACCTCCACCTTAAAATGTCCTTGACTTTCACTGTAACTGAAACGTCCTGAAAACTTTCGCTTCTATTTCTGCTGCCTCTTGATAATTTACGTGAAAAGCTTCTTGGCAAAACCAATGGAGATTTCACAGAAGAAAATTTGAAAAGTTTAACAACATTTATGACCTTGTAGATAGCAGAAATTGTAGTTTCAGCAGCTTTTCTTGATCTGCTTCTGAGTAGCACAGGCGAGGTTTTGCATGGATTACTTGAATAGTAATCATCTCTAAGGAAATCTTTGAGCATTCTTGGTCTATTTTTGCAAGAGCAAGAACTTTCAAATCTTGAATTTGTGTGTTGATTAAGTGATGAAGCCATTGATAAAACTAATTTATTAACTCAAGGCAGCAGATTCTGGTTTTGTTTGCTTGAAAGAGAGTTGTTTTATGGGGTGGAGGTTTGTTCTTTGGTGTAGAGGCGCAAAATGGAAGTATGAAAACTAAAGAATAAATTAGTATCCTAGGTGAAATGAAACAACACATGTGGTCCATATGGAGAAAGTGACAAACACTTCATAAAAGGATGGATGTTTCTGGTTAAGGTTTTTCTAACAAATGCATGAAGGAAGATAATATAATAAAGTACAGAGAATTATGCAAGAGCTGACCTATTTGTTGAGAGTCGAAGGATGTCAGAGAAGAAAAAATGTATCAATGCGCGGGCCGATCTAGAAATTTAAAGTTGTGGGGTCAAATTTTACAAAAAATTTATTGTAGAGACAAAATTGAAAAATATTAAGGATTTTTTTTGAAATTTTGTTTAAAATCTTGAAAAATGTTGTGCAACATTTGGATTTAAAATTTAGTGCGGGGACAGGTGACCCATTGCACCCACTGTAGATCCGTCAATGTCAATTTGACTCTCTTGAACAAGGGTCAAATTGTTTTGATATGTTTATTACTTTGAATTTGATAGAATTAAAAGAGTCTATATAGAAGTGTAGCATGTGCCAATGCCAAACTTTTCTTGATCAGACTCATCAATTGAAAGCAAAAATTAGAGTCTTAAAACATTTTGCGCACACCTAAGAATGTTGAGGTGGTGATGGCCGAAAGCAATTTGATGCTTAAGTTAGAAAATAGATAACTTAGACTTGGTGTTTCAACATTTTTATTTATTTGAACCTACACAGTGGAGATTGATTAGGCTTAGCGTTCTTTCTTGTCATGTTCATGGAGGTCATGCCTCTGCAATTAAGCTCCGTATACAAGGATTTTTTTCAGGGATTTTTATAGGCAATGATGTGGCAATATTGGATTGACTGGTTTAAAATTACTTTTTTGTCCAATATTCAATGAAATTGTGACAGCTAACAATCTGTGAAACTGTTTTGCAAAATCCCTTGTACATGTAGCAAGATTCTTATAATAATATCAAACCTTGTAGCTTGTTACATTCTTTGAAAATATGAGTCAACTCATTTAAAGAGTTAGATTTGTGCTATACAAGATGGAAGGGTGTGCGTGTTCGTCCCCTCTTGATCTGGCCCAGCCATGCTGAGGCCAAGGTTTGACGAGCTAGAAACGGAAACCTTAGCAATGAGATATGTGAAATATGGGCCAAAAAAAAAAAAGAGTTCTTTAACATTATTAAATTTATCCAATACATTTTTATTTATTTTTGCACTATGGAAAACTAGTTCAAAGTACCTTCAGCTCACCCCAAAATTTAATGTTTAACAAATCTAAAACTTTTTCCTCACCCTAGAATCTACTCTCTCTTAAAAGATGGACTTTGAGGATTACTATTCATTTGTGAATTCTCCTCACATAATGTTGTTCCATATGTGGACCAAAAAATAAAAAAAAAAAATTTCGAAAACTGCAATTATTGACTCAGTGACACAGTTTCTCGTGTGCGGTCTTTGTGCATCATGGAGAACTCAGTGCAACACGGAGAAGACCTCCTTGCAGCTCGCAGGCATGGGTGTCTGGACACCATCCGTGTATCCACAAGGAGACACAGCCCTTGTCTCCTCCGTGCAGCATGGAAAGAAGGGTAAGTGTATCTCCAGGTGAAAGTTTTGGGCTACGAAGCAATGTTAACTTACCTTTCAACTCCACTCTTCTGAAACAGAGAAATTTTTTACTGTATAAGCTGCAAAGCCTTCTGATCCAATAATTATTGCAATATATTTTGGAAGAATGTATTTTGGAATAATGTATTATTAGGGTGTGTTTGATGGATATTATTTTGGAAGAATGTATTTTGGAATAGTAGATTGATGGAGAATGTGTGGTTGAAAAAGAAGGAAAAGTTATTGATGTGATGGAAAATATTATTTTAATGAGGAATGTGTGGTTGAAAATGAGTAGAAGAATAAGAATGAAAATTTTAATGGGTACCAAACATTGGCTTATCCAAGTACCCTATCAACATTTTTTTTTTGTGCATTAATATTACTTCCAATCTTTGTAATCAGTAGATATTGGTAGAAACTATCTACTGAATGACTTTGTCACAATTCAAAGGGACTGGTGGGAGAGTAGAACTTCATCAAAGTTCTTTTTTATTTTTATAGTTCTCGATGTGTAGGAATAAAGTGACAGTCCTATTTGACCGAATGTTTGCAATCAATGTGCAAGTGTCTGTTTTTGTTGGTGGGTTTGGGAAGAATCAAGATTCAAAACCATCAAATACTGGTTAATGCAAGCCATTTTTGTTCGTTTTAAAGTAGGAAGTGACCAGAATTACTCCTGTAGAGATGCCAATAAGTTCACAAGAAAAGGTTCATTTTTGTGGATCTACTATAAACTGCACTTAATATAAATGATTAATGTGAGTAAGCCAACTATTTATCATGAGTGAGAAAGCAAAATCCAGTTGGAGTCACTAAATAGATTGGTGTTTTTCAGGTGGTTCATGCGGAAGTTGGATAACAAGAAGAGCAGTTGTAGAATAGTCCTATCGAGTCAACAGTTCAGAATTCCAAACAAAGTGCCATGTGTATTATGAGGAAATTTCTTTGGTTCTACCTTGCAGTTTGTCCTCATTCTCAAATTAACCTTTTAGCATGCTGAAACATTTATTATTTTACCCATTGCAGCATGGAGAACTCCGTGCAACACGGAGAAGTCCCCCGTGCAGCTCCGCGTCTCCTCCGTGCAGGACGGAGAAAACCTCCGTGCAGCACCATGCTGCACGTCACTAACCAGTTTTTAATTGTTCATATAAAATATCGGGATGAAAAATACATCATATGAAAAAATATCTCCAACATAGTTCATTTGTGTCCGGCCATATACATTTTTAAAACTCATACCCATAAAATATATATGAAAACGAAACTGGTGGAGAAATCCCCTCTCTTGCTCTTTTTTGTCTTCGACTTATTTGCTGATTACCATGATTATTTCTTTGTGTTAGATATATTTGTTGATTATCATGATTGACATTAAAGGTAGATTTCTACTCGTTGTTTTATTTTTGCTTTTTCATTTCTTTTTTTTTTTTTTTATTGCAACTTGCTTTCGATTTTTTCGTTTTTGTTTAGTTTTATGTTTTTGTTTCCGTTAGGTATATACAAATCTTTCAGGAGGGTTTTGTTATGTATTGTCTATGGTATTGTTAAAAGGTAAGCTTAAAATTTATTTTTTGCTTGATAAAAGGTAGGCGTAAAATTTTACACACAAGATAATAAAAACTGTACAGAGAGCAGGGAAAGAAGAGTGGAGAGAAATCGAGAGAAAAGAGAAGAAGAAATAAAATGAAGGGTTGAGAGACAAACAGAGATCGTGAAAAACAAAATAAAAGAAAAGGAGGAGGAGGAGGAGATGATAGATGAAGGAAAATGAAACACTAGCAATCATGAAAATTGGAATCATTTTATTTTTGCTCTTAGAATAATATAATCTAAAGTAAGTTAGAAAAATTAATTTGGTTGAAATTTCCTCTATGAGTTAAAGGTTTGCTGGAGTTGGAAATAGTAATAAAACAGAGCAACACATTAAAGATTGATGGGAGTTAAAAGTTGTATATGTTTGTAAAATTGTCATAGAAAAATTAGATGACAGGAGTTTCATTTACAAAAATGATATATAGGAATCTTCAAGATTTCAACCATTTCATCTTTGCTCTAATTTGAAGTCCTGTTTGGCTATAATCTAAGTAAGTTAGGAATTAAAATTTGATTCAAATTTTGGTTTGGTACAGTTGGGAATAGTAATAAAGGAAAGAAAGCGATTGAAAGGTGATGGGAACTAAAGAGTGACGTGTTTGTGAAATTGTTATAGAGAAATTAGTGAAAATAAGTATTTAATGTAAGCTGCTTATTTGCTATTATAATTTAATTAACTCAAATTGTGATTAAAGATCAAGGAGTTGAAATTGAAAATTTAGCATGCAAAAACTTATTCATCTAATTTTTTTAAACTTATCCAAACATTCATTAAATACATAGGCAAAGGGTAAAAAGAAAAAGAAGTAAACTGATACTAGTAAGTCACTAAGAGGTTTTAGAGTGCTTGGTGTACTGTTTTTTTCCTGTACTCTAGCTTGCATTGTTATCCATTTGATTAGTTTTGTAACTAACCAAGATCTGGAAAAAGCATTTGCATCATTTTTTATAGAAACAATGTTCCAATGGTTTGTCAAAAGTTCTAATCAATAAAGTCATAATTGCATGTATAATTGCATATATGTGATACAGAGTAATGAATATGAAATTCAACATTGAAGAAGCAATTGGGCTAAATACATTTTTTTGCTATTTTTGACTGTTCATTTGTGTTACTTCGTGTTCACATATAACAAGTTTGCAATACGAATTTGTGTTATAGGTATACACGCATAGAGAACAACAGATGATAGAAGGTAGGGCAACTGATTTTTGGTAAGAATGATTTTCTTTTTAGCAGTTAAATAAATGACTATTTGTTTGGAGAACATATCAACATGTACTGGTTCTAACTGTAACATTCTCTACATTGTCTTGCATTATTTTGTAATTCACGTTTATCATCTAAGCTTTCTAACTTTCTTACTTGTATTGAAGGCACCCTTCATAAATATGTACTTGAGGTTGTGTGTACATATTAATCAAAACAGTAAATTTTAGGTATTTTCTGTTTTATATAAAAAAATTTCCTACTAAAAAATAGAAAATAAGCTGAATTCCATCAATATAGAAGACATCAATTAAAGGTATGTTTTCAGTAATTCTATTTTTATTTTTATTTTCGTTATAAATTTTGATTTTATTTTTACCTTTCTGCAAACCTTTAGCTGTTGAAAGGGCATCAACAGCTGGAAACTCCGGATGGTTTAGGGGGACGGTGAAAGTTGTTCCATTTGGTGACAGCTTGGTGATTGTGGGAGGCAGCAAGGCAGAGATTCCCCTGGAGAAAACAATCACTTTGTCATCTCTGATAGCACCTAAATTGGTACGTTCGCTCTATATCTTTGCTCACTTTAAGCTTGAGGTTTGTTTTCCAACTGATCATTCAATTGTGAACTGAACAAAATGTTTACTGGATATTTTTACTTTCTTACGAAGTTTCATGATTTCAATTTCTTTGTGCTATTTTATGTTCAATCAACGCACGTATCTCCAATCAATCCTTAACATTGAACACGTTAATATTAGCTCCAAAATATCTCAGCTCGTGCATTGCACAGGCAGAGACTAGTTTAATGATAAATTCGCCCTTGACATCAAATGAATAGTCAGCTTTTTTGAAGGCATGAAACCCATTGCTTAGTGAACTCACTCGGTGTAGTTAAAATATACCACTTAAACTGGAGTTACAATCTCACTGGAGCTAAATAGATTATAGATTTTGCCTCGTACCTTTTCGATAATCACTATATCAATATTAAGCTCTTGTTTGATTATCATTATTTCTAAAATACATTTTTCTCTCCCTTCTTTTCAACTACACAATTTTTAATAAAATAATACTATACGCAAACCCAAAACATTTTTTATTTTTTAACTAAAAACATTCTCTATCAATCTATTCTGTCAAAATGTATTCTTCAATAAAAATTGAACTCAAACAAGATATAAAATTCTTATCTATTTGCTCATGGTTTTGTTGACATGAAATAGCCCGTTGAAACTATTTCACTTTCGATTTAGTTAAATAATCAGTTTCTTTGTGTTCTTTTGTGTTCTCTTTTTGAATAAGGGGACATAATGGATTAAATAAATGGGAAAACAGACACTAACTATTTATTTTCAAGATCACAATTGCTAGGTATTGGGAGAAGACAATGCTGGGTTTGTGACTCAAATTCGGTTAGTTTTTTTTGGATAATATTGTTTCTTTTACTCCACTCATTTTTTATTGGGAAAATATTGTTTCATTTATTTCACGCATTTTTGATATTATTTCCATCTTTAAGATTATTGTTAGGGTTTTGATATATCCCCTATATATAGTTGGCTCTTCTTTACAAGTTGATTTATTACAGAAATTAGAATAGTTGTGAGAACCACAATTGTTTTAATTCTTTCTCCATTATAGTTGAATAAAATCTCTAATTCCCTTACCATTAAATTATTGTGTTTGTGTTCATCTTGTTGTTATGATCATTACTTCATATCATGCTGTATAACCTCGTTCCAACCCCAATAGATAGTTGAGTAGATGCAATAGGTCAACATTTTCGAGAATTCAAGGGCTATTTATTCGAAGAGTGATGACACACCAATCATAGAAGCATATCCTCTTTAAAATCCCCGATAAAACCCTGCTCGATTTTACTTTCCTACCATAAAATCTTTTTGCATGTCGAAGTGTCTTTAATCAATCATCGTCCCTATTTTTCGATAGCCAAGCAATCTCACCGTGTCTTGTTTTGCAAATTCTGGCGGAATTTTTAAGTTCATGGAGTTGATATGAAGCGGCCAACAACTTTGAAAATAAACAAGTTTATATATATTACAATATAATACTAGATCTATAGGAATAAAATCAATTTAAATTTTAACACAAAATTTTGTACAGAGCTACAAATATTATATATTATTTTATTTAAAATACAATTTTAAATCTTGAATTAATTCTTAATTCCTAAACTAGCTTAAGTGGTTTATTTTAGGACCTCTTACTATTATAAAAAGACTTCAAACGTATCATAACAACACTAGGTTTCTTGAACATTTGAATGTTGGTGACAAGCACGAGCTGGTCAATATTGTTTAATTTTTTGAGGATCAAATTGACACGACCCATCCCATGGCTCGATATGTGATGTGTTTAGACCATGTATGCTAGCTAGATGTTAACTGATTGTTACGTGTTATTGATTTACCAAAAAATTTGTTCGTGCGAAATCCGCAAGCGTACGAGATAAATTCAATTCAGATTTATTAGTTTTGTATGGAATTTGAATTATATAAACAAAATAGATTTGATTTTTACGATTATTCTAAATTAATCTAATAAAATTGTAAAATTAGGATTTGTATCAAATTATAGATGATTGTATTGAATTTCGAATCCGCCATTTGCTATCTATTTCAATTCTTGATTTGTAATATAGTTTCTTTCATTCATTCTTGACAATCGATAAAATGATGATATATAATTTTTTTTAAAACAAATTAAATATGTTCTAACCATGACCCGAATTTATTCCTATCCCAAATTCGAATAATTCGAATATATTAAATTTTATATTATCTATGATAAATGTTATTCCTAACATTTATTGCACATATGTTAATTTTGTCACGTTCTAAACTTATTTTGAGTCTCCCAACCTACAACAAACAACTATTTATCTAATTGGTAGCCAATCAATTAAATAATGCAATGTGTGTGCAAAATTAATTAAGAAACACAAGAAATAAATTAAACTACTAGTTTTAAATTAAAAACAAATAATAAATAGAGTTCATCTTCGTCCAATACAAAAGCAGATCTATCCTAGCACGCTAATATATAAATTGCAAGAAAAATAATAATAATAAAAAAAATCACTGGATCATAAAATAATTCAATAGATGTTGATCTTCAAGTTTAAAGTTGAATTTTTCCAAATTTTGATATAATTGACCTTCAATTCCTTGCTAGGGGCCAGTAATTGGCATCTTGTTCTTGATTAATTTGATGTTACTATTGTGTATGAAGATGCGAGAGAGGTTTTCAATGTTTAACCCCCGTTTTGTATTTATAAGAGTTAAAAAATAGGTGAGAATCGTGTCTAATTTGGGTTCCAAAAGAGTTTGAATCATGAAAAGAAACAGTTGATTCATCTGCGAAAATGGCTCGCGCACACCGGTATAGCTAATGCGCGCACCGTTGAGCCAAATGGCTCTCGGGTTGGAAAAACAATGCCTCGCTCACGCGCCTAAATTGGCACCCGCTCACGCCAGTTTGTGGTGTCGTCCCTGAGCAGTTTTCGGTATTTTGGCCATAATTTTCTCTCCAGATATCCGATTGAGGTGATTCAAAATGCGTTAGAAATAAAATTTAAAGGGATATGATTCTTCTAGATATACAATTTTCTCAATTCGAACTTGTCTATCCAAAAAATGGGTCTTAAGTTGAGACTAAAAGTTTGGAGCATAACTTATTCGGCTGGGAATTGATTTGTGAAAATATTTTAACTATATTTCACTCGTTTGATCTCAAATTGTATCCAATTGATCTTATATAATCTTCAATCACCGTTTGTGGTCCGAATCAACTATTGAATGCTTACACTTTGGTCCTCAAATTTCAGATTTCTTTCGTTTTCACACTTTTTCGTTCCTTTATTCTAAATCCACCAATTTGCGTTGAGTTCAACCTAACAAACATAATTAACGTAAAATTAAGTTATAAATAATCCAAATCACTAACAAATACTATAATTTAATGAAATAAATAAGTGTACAAAATACACTTATCAACCAACAAAAGAAATATGTGACAAGGTACATGCAAAGCTATCTCGATTATGCTGAGTCTAAGTAGGGTAAGACTGTCATGAGCTTGGAGGATTTGACGTTAATTTACAAGTATATATTTCCAAAGAAAGAATTAAACATAACGGAAAACGAGATAATAGTGACAAGATTGAGTTTCAAATGTGAGGTGAAGCATGGGAGCCTCGTGCATCTGTTGTAGAAACATGAAATTGATGCATCAAAATATAATTTTTTTTGTGTGTGTGTAATCAAATCAATTATGTGTATGGCAAAAAATCATTTCAAAATTTCTTGTCTCTTTGATTTCCTACCAGAAATTGAAATCAGCATTATAAGGCTAATTTAAAAAGATCTGATTGCAGGTCCACTTGTCCTGTTTGACTAGGTATCCTATGTTTCATTACGACAAAAAAAAATATCTCAATTCTGTTGAGAATTATGGCACTATATTGTGTAATTAAATCTGTTTCTTCCTTGAAAATTTTGATACTATTATTCGAGTTTGGGTTCGTTTTAGTTTTGCAGCTAGAAGTTCGAATTAACCTTGTTATATCGATATCTTACATGATTGATGCGTGACAAAGAACATACTTTATGTCAATAAGCATTGATCATGTTCTTGTAAGGTTGTCAAAATGGCGAGCTTAAGTTCAAGTCTAGCCATGAGTTCTTCGATTGAGTCTATGGCCTTTGTCAGGTCTCTATTGCAACATGTTCGAGCTTGGTATTAAACCATTATTGATAGAAAACTAATCTGGCCCTTATCTTCTCCAGCATTAGATCAACTACTATAACATTGTAACCTTAAATATCAAGAGTGAGACAGACATGTGACTAGGCATGGACTTGGAAAATGTCGGAATAAATAAATAAATAAAAACAAAATGAATGAGAATTGTAACAACAAGCTTTTGATTTCAATTTTGTACTTAATTTGTATTGAATTGGTGATTACAAAGCATTAATGGCTATTGTATCATAATTTGTATTAAATACAAAATTAACTAAGAAAATTGAAACCCCTAATCCAAGTGCTATATAAGGAGGTGTTCTCTTTATTTTATACACTAAAATTGAGAGTTCTCCCATCTCTCTAAATTTCTTCTCTTTTTGTTTCAAGGGTTTTACTCTTAGTAGTTTATATAGTTTTTTGTTCTAACTTGGTGATAGAAGTGTGACATTAATCTCAGTTCACTTAAAAGTAATAACGATGTGTTAGTCAGCTGCTTTCAACCATGGTATCCTGGGAAACAGCCTGATAGGTTTTAAAGTTGTTGGCAATCGTTTGGCAAACCTATTGTTGTATAAGAGTTTGTAAAAGTAAAAGTGGCAAGTGGTTAGTTAGAAGTCCTTGTGTGTCATTAATCTCAGTGCACTTAAAAGTATTAACGATGTGTTAGTCAGCTGCTTTCAACCATGGTATCCTGGGAAACAGTTTGTTAGGTTTTAAAGTTGTTGGCAATCTTTTGGCAAACCTATTGTTGTAAAAGAGTTTGTAAAAGTAAAAGTGGCAAGTGGTTAGTTAGAAGTCCTAGGGTTCGACTATGGAACGAGGAGAAAAGAGTCGCCGCAATTTTGTTAAAATATAGCCCAGCT